TATTATTAGGGGGACTGAAAAAATTACATAAGTTTTAAAGTTCAGACATGTTTTTTTTTTTTTTGGAATTTATTGACTGAATGCTTGGCTTTTATGTGTATGTGTTTGTTGCATAAAATAATAACAAATTGTAATTTAAATTTTCCTGTTTGTTTGTTTGTTGGTTGGCTTTTTTTTAATAAAATTTTCCTTTACAGATTCTTTTGATTTGACAGTAAAAAAAATTTTAATAAGTAACATTTAAAAATAATTGATAATAAATTTTTAAAATGAGTTTTTTTTGTACAAAAAAAAAGACTACTGAAATTCAAAAACAGTTTCCATGTTAAGGAAAAAAAAGGAGGGGAAAAAAAAACAAAAACAAAATTATTTTGGGTCATAAATACATAATCATCATTTATTCATAAATTAAACAAACAATTTTATTAAAAAATATTGTAAACAAAAACTTATATTTGTTTTTTTTTTTTATTAAAATAATTATTATTTTATTATTTTTATAATAAAGTCGAAGGTACTTTAGTAAAATATATTTTTTTTAAAAAAAAAAAATTACTATGATTTTATTTATTTACTATTGATGATTAGGTTTTTTTTTTTTTGTTTTTTGTAACCTGATTTTTATTATTTAATAAATTGAAATGAACAAATGGCATGAGATTCTTGTGGTGGTGTGAAAATTTTTTTTTTTTTTTTTGTTTGTTCATATTAAATAAATGTTGTTTGTTATTAATATATAATATTGTTTTTATAATTTTAGGTCATTGGAATTAAGCTCTGACAAAAAAAACGATTTACACTGTTCAGCACCAATTTCAAAGCTTCATGTTGAAAAAATTGAGGGAGGCATATTAGTTGCTGGAGTGGTTGTAGCAGCTAACTGCCAAGTAGCCCTTCCAGTTTTTGGCTGCCTTTTTATATTAGCAGGAATTGTTTTGACAGGTAAATATTTAAGGAATTGTATAACATTAACACCTTAATACGTATATATTTAAAAAAAAAAAAAAATGGTTTCAGTTGCATCTTACAGAGGTCCTGGTCAAGATGAAGAACCTGAAAATTATGCAGCCAGAATTGCCTTTACCGGAAATTCTAGAATATTAGGACCAGCTTGCCTAGTTGTTGGTATTATCATGCTGTCTGCCGGTATTGGAATTTGTTTTCTTGCTAAAAGTGCTAGAAAAAAAAAGAGAAGAGTTGGTTTTCACTGTCCAATACACGGTGATTTTTATCCCCTTAGTCCAATATCAGCACCCAAAGCAATAAGTATGTCAATTCATTTTATTTATAATGTTTATTATATAAATTTATTTTAATAATAATAATAATTTTATTTAATAGGGAAATACAATTCAATATGGAAGTGGTGTTCTAGAAGAACTAAAAATTTTAGCATTGAAGAATATCCAAATACCCCTCCTCAATGTCCCCATACACAGCTATCCAGCACAAGATCATCAATCAGTGCTCCACTTAGTCTTTGCCCTACGCCCATGCCATTTTTGGTTACATCAAATTCCAGCAGGTTAAAAATTATTATTTAAAAACTAATATTAATTCAATTAAATAAATATTTTATTGAAAAAAAAAAAAAATTTTTTTTTTCAGCAATAATTTAGTTATATCCGTTGCGGCTAATTCGTATTCCGAACAAACTTTTGGTTCTATAAGCTCATTGTTAGTCTCTAAGGAAGTTGCATCTTTTCCATTATCCAGAACACCATCTCCTCCGCTTAATTTTCAAGAAAGGTAACCTTAAAAACCTTAAAATAATAATCAATTAATAAACAATTGATTTTTGTCAATATTAGTTTAACTAAAACTAAAGAAAACTTTTACTTTTTCAGATCTTGTAGTTATCCAAATAATGAATACAATACAGGAATGAAAGGTGATAAAATACCTTCTCCAACTCATACAGAGCTTAAAAATTTAGTCAAAGAAGATGAAGATAAAAATTTTAGTCCAAATCATAAAGAAACAATTGGAGATTTTGAAGATCTTAAAAAAATATGTGAGTCTCACAGTGCTCAAAATAATTTAATTGTAAAAAGTATTTCAACAGAAAACGTTTGTAGTGGATAAATAAAAGGTTTTCAGTATTGGATATAAAATAAATAAATTAAAAAAAAACCGTTAAAAAATATAATTATTTTTATAATATTAATTTTAACAAAAAAATTCATTATTTAAAATATGATACATGATATTAAAGAAAGAAAAAACATTTTCAAAAAAAATTTTTTTAAAATTTTAAGTGCAAATCCCAATAAAAAAAAAAAAAAAATTATTCGTCAATTGCAAAATCTCCATCCAGGAAATAATAATAATAATAATATTATTTTGTAGTTGAAAATTTTTTAATTTAAATAATCGTTTAAAAATTTAAATATTTTTTCATTTTTTAAAACAAACTAAATTCATTTTAAAAAAATTTAGAATTATTTGTATTTAAAATATAATCATTTTTATGCTTTTAATTAGCAATAATTAAAATAAATAATTAATTTTGTGAAATTTAATAATTAAAATAATATCTAATAGTTTTTTCTTTTTTTTTTTTTATTAGCAATTATTATTATTATTATATATATATATATATATATTGTAAAATTGTAATTTTATTTTAATTTTTTTTTTTTTTTGAAAATTAATAATATTTTAATTCTAAAAATAATAAAAAAAAAAATTTAAACAAAATAGTTATCATTAATAATAATATTAATATTATTCATTATCATTAAATTAATGAGACTTATTGTATATGCAGCATTTGTGTATATTATTATTAATTAATTTTAATTTGTATAAATAATAATAATAATAATAATAATTTTAGGTTTTTAAACTTTTGCTTCCATCTATTAAGAAAATAATACTTTCGCTCATTTCAATCAATTTATTAATAGGTTGACCAAATTATTAAAATATGTCAAATAATAATAATAATAATTATAACTATTATTATTATTATTATTATTATTATTATTATTATTCTAAACTAATGTTGTGAATCACAAGACTTCACTAAAAATTATCTATTTTATTTATTTGTTTATTTTTTTTAATAATATTCTATAATGTAATTATTTAATTAATAATTTTTTAATATTTTGAAATTTTTATTTATTTTATTATTATTATTATTATTGTGATGAAGAATAATAAATTCAGGATGTACCTTAATTTTAATTTAATTTTCAACCTTTTCTTATTTTAAGAAATGTCTGATACAAATGTATCATCAATTATTGTTAGTTTTTAAAAAACCAAACAAAAAAAAAATTTTTTAATAAAATTGTGATTTTAAATAATTTATATTTAATTATTTACCATTTATATTATAATATTTAAATTTAAGAATTAAAGTGTAGAAATTTAAAAAAAAAAAAAATGAAGAATGAACAGAGTTATCGGTTTTATTACTTTTACTTTTTTTTTTAGCATTTAAAACTCGTATTTATGTAATTGAATTAACTTTACTATAACCGTTAAAAAAAGAGAAAATAATTACTTTTAAATGAATAATTACGAAATAATTTTTCGAATTAAAACTTTTTAATAATTTTTAGTAATACATTTTCTTTTTACCAAAAATTATTTAATTTTTTCATTGTCAAAATATTTTTTTGTATTTAATTATGTAAAATGTATAAAGCAATTTAAATGTACTCATTAGAAATGGTACTTTCTTCATGTAATTTACATTTTTACAAAATCAATTTTATGTATAAATATCATTATTGAATTTCATTGCATTCTTTTTGATTTTAATTTTCTATAAATTTTATTTTCAGTTATTAAAAAAGTTAAATTTTTGATTTCATAGCAATAGAAATGCAAGAAGTAAATTTTTAAGAGTTAAAAAGGGCCCCGATAATTACTTATGGAAAATTTGTTTACTTAGAATTTTAACCGTCAATTGAAATAATAAGTTGAACTTAATAGAAATGTTTGATTTTGATGTTGCAGTAGTCGTTCCAATGGCTGGTTGCAGCGAAAGATTTCCTTCATCTTGCCAAAAACAATATTATAATATTCTGGTAAGTAATATTTTTCTAAAGAAAAATTTTTTGTTTATTTTTTTTTGAAAGTGTTACATAAAGTTCTATTTATAGGTTGTCTAAATTAATCTAAATTAATTCATTTTGTTTTACAGGGAAAACCATTATTTTTATATTGTGTCGAAAAGTTCTACAAATTTAATTACATTAAAAAAATTTGCTTGGTCTGTGATAAAATAGATTTTGTAGAAGATATCTTGAAAAAAAATTTCAGTGGATTAGAAAAATTTTTAATTGTCAAAGGTGGAGCTTCTCGACATATCTCAATTAAAAATGGTTTAACTCAATTGTCAAAATATGGTAAGACAGTTGAAATATTTTTTTCAAGGTAGGTTCTGTATGTGTTTTAAAACAATTGAACTTTTATAATTTTATCACTGTAATATTAATATGTTAATTTGCTACTACAGAATAGTGAGTAAAATCAATAGCTGCATGAACTATTCATATCTTAAAGCATGTTTTATGTATTTGTAAGTATACTAATTTAAAACTGTAATTAATTTTGGTAAAATTTTTTATGAATTTTAAAATTTAAAGCAATGAATTGTAAATTACAGCTTAGTCAATTAACATATTAATAATTTTTTTTACAGGAAATATTTTCAAAGTCGTCGTAATTCATGATGGGGTTCGTCCATTTATTTGCGAAGAATTCTTGTGCAAAATAATATCGCAAAGTGCCCTGCATGGAGCAGCAGGTGCTACAAGACCTTTAATTTCTACCATCATAAAACCTAATGAAGAAGAATTTGTAGAATCATGTTTAATTAGAAATGAGTATATAAGAAGTGAAACACCTCAAGCTTTTTTATTCCATATTATTTTTAATGCTTATGAAAAGGTAAGAATTACATTTGATCACATTAAAAATTTGACATTATTAAAATATTAATTATAGTCACTATTAACATTTTAAAGCATAATACAAAGTTCATTAAAATTTAAACTAAAAAAATATTTTGCAGTGTAATGAATACGATTTAATAAATGGAACAGAATGTTTACAATTAGCTTTGAAATACTCTCAAGTAAAAGCTAAACTAATACCAGGTCCAGATACATTATGGAAAGTTACAGATAAAAAGGATTTGTACTCTTTAGTTTCCTACATCAAAGGTAATTATATTTAAATGTAAATATTTATATATTTATTATTTTAATTAAATATTTATGTTTTAGAAATGTCAACATATGTTTGTTTGCTTAGAAAAGAAGAAAACCAACTTGTTACAACTTTATTAAATTCACTAAAGAACAAGGTTAATCAAATTGATTATTTTTCACCAGGAATAAATATAAATCCTACAAAATATTTTTATAACAATATAGTTTATTTTTCAAATGAAAAAATAGAAGAAAGTCATTTGATATTATTGAAAACACTTTTCGATAACAACAACTCCTCAGTATGTACCAATTTTTCTCATTTATTAAAATTTATGTAATTTTCGATTGATTTTAAATATTATTTTATAGTATTTGTGGTTTGTAAAATTTACCTCACTTTTAATTTTTAGTTTTGCCTTTAAAAAAAAATTTTTTTTTTTTTTTCAGAATTTATTAATTTATGTAATCGAGGAAACAAACTCTGATTCAATGGATTCATCGTCAATTATTGAGAGAACCAAAACAGAAAAAATAATAGAAAAACTTTATGACGCATTAAAAAAAGGTAAGTTCATATTTTTATTTTATAAATTTAAATTTTATTAAATATTTTAATATTAATTTTAACTCATAATTCACTTACAGAAATCGTAATAATTTACTTTTTAAATTTAGAGAAAGAAAAAAAATTGATGGATCTAATAATATCTTTAATATTTTTGGAAAAGCAAACATTGGCTGGGCAAATATTATTCGTATAAGTGTACTAAAATTATTATTTATTTATTTTCACGAAAAAAATGTTTTCCCTTTAATTTAAAAAAATTCAGGATTAGTTAGGTTTTAATTAATTAATTAATTATAATTAATTATTGAATTATTTATTGTAAAATCATAACTTAATAAAAACAGAATACATTTTAATTAAAAACTCCAATAATTTTATTTTCTGATTACTCGTAACAAATATTCGATTTAAATAATACCTTTTTCCTAAATTAAAATAATAAAATTTCTAACAATTTCATAAAAATATTTTAAAATAATAAAATAAATTAAATTTGTATTAAATTATTTAAACTAAAAGTTACACTTTCGATAAAACGTTTAAACTTTGGAAATTTACTGAATTTCTTCTGGGTTGAACATTCCCTAAAATAAAAAAATTATATTTAACATTATTCTTACACTAACTAGTAAGTTAGAAAATGGGTATAATTTTATGAAATAGGTAAATAATTTAATTTTTAAGTTGTACTCAATATTGAATTTAATATGTAAATGCTTATATTAAAAAGAGGAAAAAATGGAAAACATACCTTTGCTCTCCTCAAAATGGAATCTTTACTAGCATCATATGGATGATCTTTTGATGGAATTTCTAATACTGATGGAATGGGTTGTGAATGACTGTCAATGGCGTGTCGAATCATTTCTGCTATATTTTGATTAATTAATATGATGTCAACATCATCCCTTTTAACAAATCTTTTAAAGCAATCTTCAATTTCAGAAACAGCAGTATCTACAGAAAAAAAAAAAAATACATCGAAGTCAAATAGAAATATATTAAAATGTAAAATTCTGTTAAAAAATTTTTAATTTGATAAACCTACTTTTATCAACTACCATAAAATTTGAATGTCTGTTTTTATTTATTTCTCCGATGCCCCCCAGGAGGAATCCTACACAAGTATCTTCATCTCCTATAACAGCTATTAGTTTTCCTCGAATAGCGGAATGTAAACTCATTTTAATTTAAACAAAAAAAAAAAAAGAACTTTTGACTTGGACAATCTGATTTAGTCAGGTGATTTAAACTAAATTTTTTTAGGGCCCTATTGATGAAATATCAGATGATTTGTTTACTGAAATTACTTATGAAATAATTAACGAATCAATTTTATTCATAATTTTGCTTTTTAAAAAAAAGCGGTTATAAATTTTTGCATTAAACTACACAGAGGATCGTTATTTAAGTATACTTTTGTACGTATTGAGAAATTACCAATATAATTTTGTTTAATTTAAAAGAGTTAACTCGAACAAAGTAATTTTAGTTATTTTTTATATTACCGGAAACTAATCTTTTGATAAAATTGTTAATTGCAGCAACAACTCTTAAAAATGTTTGACCAAAGTAGATCAATATTAGCAGCAAGAAATGCCTTCAATG